ATAGTCCTTCAGAGATACAACCTAATAATACGTAAAGCTAACTGCAAACATTTATACTAAAGAGGAATACTCTACGTTATTTTGAACAAATATCAACATAGCATGTAAAGGAGTGAGCGCTCTCCCAGGTCTCCAAGGCTAGCAGCCTCGACACGATAGAAGAAAGCAGATAATGGAGGTCGGACGCACGACGCGCAGATGTCGGATGAAGTCAACACATTATGCTAAATAGCCAGGGGACAGGCAACCCGAGGGCGTTCGTAAAGATCGCATTTACAAAAGAATTCCCCAGTTTGCTATGCATGATTCAGCAATGGCCATTGCAAGCTGTGGCATGAACAGCAGTGCTTATTTTCTGTGTAGCATGCTGTGGCTTCACTGAGAACAGAAACCCTTCTTTGGCCTTGGTAGGCTGCGCGTAAGCAAATGCAAAAGCTCTATAAGTACATTCAGAGGCAAAGCATGCGCCAAAGGAATCTTCGTTGAAGTTTCCTTGTGTGCACCCGTGAGGCTGGCTTGTGTTATCAGCCGCTGCGAGATGCGCTGTAACCCCACTTCAGGCTGCCTCACCCCCGCAACACCCAAGCCGTCAGGCCCTGAGCTCAACATGCAGCAGGAACACGGGAGAACGCCACCTGTTTTTCGGAAACTCTTGCTTTAATTCTTTACCTACATTGCAGCTAGCTTCTTCCCTTGATTAAGGCCATAGAGCAAGCATTATAGGCTGCGTGCAATACTTCTTGACAGTTGCTTTTTCCACCGCGTTAGCGAGGCCTATATCCTTTTCTATATGCTGTCTGTATTTGTATTTACACTTCAGCCCTGTACTGCAGCCCTCTTCATTTCTACTGCTTGGTTGGCGCTGCACACGCCAACACTTCCACCTTTTTTGGGCAGTGAAAGTTTTATCGAGTGCTCAGAAAAAGCCTGGCTAGCTTCTCAACGTCTACATTGCGCTCATCCGATAACTTCTGCAGACTCCCAGGAGTACACCAGGTGTAGGAACACCCACTTAGTATCCATTTGGGAGCATGCATACAAATATGAACACATCCACCAACATACGGCAAATCCTGTGTACCATTTTTCTGTGGGTTGGTATGTACAGTCCTACTTGCGTGCAGGCTGTCTATGGAGGGTCAACTGAGTACACAAGAATTGTATATAGTGTTGCTGCATGCAGTAAAATGGGCTTGGCTACGCATGGATCTGCGGTTGCCCTGAGGCATGAGTTGCAGCGATGTGCGCTGCAGATCATGTCCCCGACCCTAGGCCTTTGGGCTGGCGGTCTCAGGTCGAATGGGAACTGGAGAAGATATCAACTGACTTTTAGAAACTCTTATATGGAGTATTCTTATTCCATTGGAGCTCGCGAGAGTCATAAAGGATAGAGGACTCTCGTTCCATTCTGCTACAAGCCCCACGTTGGCGGGGGAACGAAATCTTCCAACAAGGGGTACACAGTATGTTACATAGTGTATCGGCGTCATATCTTCTCAAAATGTCAACCTAGCACTTTCTGGGAATGTGAAACTCCCTGCCGCGGCGCAGCCGTCAACGAAGCAATTCTCAGCTCCACCAGGACTCAGCAAACTCCGGCATAATCAACCCACACGCAAGCCCTTTCAAACTGCTCTCCAATGCATTCATGAACACAATAATGATGTGTTTCGACGCTGGGTGCTTTTTCACTGGCGCATATATACACATCTGTACGCACATACAGACTTGCCATTGCACAGGCGCATCCCCATCCAGCCAAATGCACACGGACTCCATTTTCCTAGGAATTCTACATTTGCAATTTACTTAAAATTTCATAAGAATACCTTTGCTATTGCAGTAATGCAAATACCTAGCAAGGGCTACACAAACTAGCTGAGGCGGGCGTTTGGGCATGCAGTCCATCAGTCCGGACTGATCCGCCAGCAGTTCCCTCAACAGCTATACAGTCCTAAAGAAACAATTTGCATACACGTTATTTATTTGTGCTGCGACATTCTGGAGTCATGTCCTCCGCCGAAGATGCAGGTAACTGTCACTGACCCTGGTAAGTTTCTTGTTGCGTATGTCGGGGGGAGCGGCAGATATGCTACCTGTATTTTTCCTTTGCATGTCTCACTCGATACTTCCATGCTGAAGTTTGGAAATAAATTATTT